CTGGTTGTGGCAGGCAGTGAGGAGTTCCATTTTCGTGATGAGGTCTTGCTATGTTGCCCAGGCTGGTCTTGAACTCCTGGGCTCAAGCAATCCTCTCACCTCGGCCTCCCAAAGTGCTGCAATTACAGGTGTGAGCCATCGTGGCTGGCCCTCTTTGCAATTTTCTTTCAGTCCCCTGAAGTCTCTCGAGCAGGAGAATCTGCTTCCTGAGGCTAGTAATGCCTTATTCTTAAAAACAAAGAGAACGCTGGCCTCAGTTCGGCGCTCTTGGCAGGCGAAGGCACCCAGCCAGAACTGTCACATTTGTTTCATTTGCACAGGATATTTTTACAATTTTCTTCTCTTTGTGGCGAGTGATCCTGGTTTTCCACTTGTGGTCGTTGCCGTAGACGTTCTGGGGCACATAAATGATTTAGAAGTCAGTTCACCGAGAGAAAACCATGAATTAGATAATAGTCCATGTGATCTGAGATGTGGCAGAATCAGAAAGGTATGTAAATGACACAGGTTTGGAAAACGCTGCTCTGAGGCAAGACAAGGATCACTTGCTGGGTCAGGGATGCGTTATTTTGTGACCGCGTCTTGCTCTCGGGCTATTGTGGCCTAGAGGATTTGGGAGCCCCGGAACAAATATGAGTTGATTAAGCATGCACATGGCACTTCCTTTGTGGCTGGGCACTCCCCTAAGTGCTTTTCTGATGTGGCCTCACTTCATCCTCACACACTATGCCATCAGTCCAATGTTCCCATTTTACAGATGAGAAAACTGAGGCGAGCTGGTGAATGGCAGAGCTGGGGTCTGAATGCGGCTGCCTGGCCAAGTGTCTGTGCTGTGAGCTCCCGCCACAGTTCCAGCGTCTCAGCCCTTACGCCCTGCAGGGCAGTTGTTGATGTGGCGGTTGTGTCCCTGGGTCACCTTTTCAACGTGTGCCCTGGAGGAAACGCAGGCCTGGCCCTGCCTGGTGCTGGTGCCTCAGAGCCTCTTAGAGCTGTTTTGTCATTTACTGGCTTAGGGGCCGTAGCCTCTGCCAGGGCCCCTGCTGTGTGGGCACCAAGGGAGACTCAACATCCTTGGGGGTGGAAATCCTCTTCTGAGCCTAGGGTGCCGCTGCTGTGGCTGGTATCCCCAGGCCAGGGAAGCTGAAGCACGAAGTGTGATGGTTACTGTCCTTCCAGGGCAGAGTTAGGGGAGTACTGGTCACTGGAGTGTGAAACGGGCACCACCAGGCTCCCCTCCAGGACAGGGTATTTGGAGAAGGCGCCCACCCTCCTTTCAGGACAGCGGCTGCGGAGTGGGTCAGATATAAGCTCACCCCCGGTTCTGAAGATCTGAGGACCCCTAAAGAACATTTCACCCCGCTCCCTCTCATCACCGACCGCATCCTCCCGGGCACGGCCAGCCTGGGGAATTTCCTCCTTCTGCCTGGAACTGACATTACCCAGGACTCGGAGGACAGTGAACAAGGTCCTAGAGAAAGGGCCGATGATGGAGAAACGTGAAGACAAGGTCCTAGAGACAAAGTTCTGAGGGTGAGGGCTCCCTGGTGGCTACAGAGAGAGCCCAGAGGTGCCCGGGTCCTGCTGGGCTGGGATGTCCTGTCCTTAGTCTCCCAAGAGGCTCTGGGGTCCAGCTGTCTCCTTGGCTCCAGGTTCTGGTCTGCCTGCGTTGTCAGCAGCTGGAGGCCCCTACTCTGCAGGGGACCCCGCCTAGGGGCCGAAGTCACAGACCCAAGGCCTCAGTGGCCAGAGATGTCCTAGGCATCTAGGCATGATGGAACCCGTCTGGCACTCGGGTTCATGGGCTGCCAGTCCCTGTGCCGCCCTGGCTGCAGGTCTCCCGACCACATGTCCAGCCCCTCAAGAGAAGCATCTGCGTTCCATATTCATCGTTCTGGAAGCAGGAGGAAGTCAGGAAGTGACATTGTGACTATAATAGAAAAGGGGTCTTGATCCAGACCCTAAGAGAGGGCTCTTGGATCTCGCACAGGAAGGAATTCAAGGCAAGTCACAGAGTGCAGTGAAAGAAGCAAGTTTATTAAAACTCCTCCATTCCCGGCTTGGCGCCGTGGCTCACACTTGTAATCACAGAACTTTGGGAGGCCGAGGCGGGAGGATCACTTGAGTTCGGGAGTTCAAGACCAGCCTGGCCAACATGGCGAGACCCCGTTTCTACTAAAAATACAAAAATTAGCCAGGCTAGTGGCTCGTGCTTGTAATCCCAGCTACCCAGGAAGCTGAGGCAGGAGAATCACTTGAACCTGGGAGGCAGAGGTTGCAGTGAGCCGAGATTGCGCCACTGCACTCCAGCCTGGGCGACAGAGTGAGACTCTGCTTCAGGAAAAAAAAAAAAAAAAAAACCCTTGAGCATTCTCAGAAAGCGAGCAGAGGGCCGCCCCGTCCTTAAGTTTCTCTTATATAGGGGTCTTATCTGTGTAAAGACTACCCTAAGCTCTGCCTACGTGCGGCTGGGCTGACAGCATGACAACAATGATTATGCTATTGATTTAAGAAAGCTATCCTTGACATCTTCGTGAGTGAGTACATCAAAGCATAACTATAAGTTTTTGAAAGCGTATATTGTTATGGGTATTGGGACATCTGGACTTTCTGCTGTTGTAGGAGCATGTCCTTGCAGGCATCTTCAGGCTGTGTTCTTCCTAGATGTAATTATCTTATGACCCTGAGTCACGACCGGCAAGGAATGTGCCTGTTTGTGTCGAGATGGAGCCGAATTTAAAATGGCATCACTGTGGCTCTCCCCGCTCCTGCTTCCGTAACAGAGTCCTTCAAGGGAAGAAGAGAATCATCGAGTGAACGTTGTGTCTGTACTCCTGGGGCCTCATAGAAACCTAGATTCAAATTTCCCTGCTTCCAAGACCCCCACCCGGAGGTGGCACTTCTGCTCCCCACACCCTGTGTCCCTGAGGGCAAGCCCCAAGAAGGGAGTGTGGTCCGAACCCCCTTGTCCCAGCCCACCTCACGGTCGCCTCCCCTGCTGCCCTTCCAGAAGGACACAGCAGCCTCCCACACCCCGTCATCTTCATTTGTCAGGGCCCTCCCCGCCCACCAGTTGGCCCTGGCCTGAGGCATTGGGGGCTGAGAAAGGGTGATGTGCTAAGAAGAAATCAGGGTGTGGAGAGCAGAAATACCTAATCGCTTGTGAAATCTCTGGCATGCTGGGGCAGCTTCCTCCGGGCCCTGGTGACACCGCAGTCTTTGTCAGCATTATCCGGACAGGAAGTGACAAGCCGAGGGCCCGGGGCAGCAGCCTGATGTGCTTCACATGCACCGGGTGGACAGCGGAGGCCCCGGGCCCGGGGAGGTGGCAGCGACCACTCAAGTGAACCCGGGTCTGGAAGCTTCTTACAGCAAGATGATGCCCAGGCCTGGCCGGGCAGCTCCCTGGACCCCTCGAGGAGGGTCAGGCACTGCTGTTACACTCCCACATCCCTGGTGATCCTTATGGTTAGCATTTACCACCGTCTTTCCGTATTTATCCAACTCTCACTTAATGCTTCCTTTTACTGTGTGTGGTCACTGCCCTAAGTGCTATACTTACACCTTCAAAATGACCTACAAGACAGGAACTACTATTATACATTGTACATGGAAGGAAACTGAAGCACAGAGAGGGTCAGTCACTTGCCTGAAGTTACTGAGCTGGTAACAGGCAGAGCTGGACTCCGAGCCGGTGTTTCGGCCCCGGTGCAGTCGCCTGTTTTCTCATCTGTTCCCCTGTTAGACGGGGCTTTTGAAGTCAGGGTCTATGTCTGTTTTATTCTCCTTTACCTTCATAGGAATTGGCAGAGCCCTCAGGTTGTCAATAAAGATCTGCTGATTGAAATAATGAATGAGACTGGGCACGGTGGCTCACACCTGCAATCCTAGCACTTTGGGAGGCCAAGGAGAGCGGATCATTTGAGTGCAGGAGTTGGAGACCAGTGTGGGAAACATAGCAAGACTCAATCTCTATTTCAAAAAAATTTTTTTTAATTAGCTGGTCATGATGGCTGGCATCTGTAGTCCTAGCTACCTGGG